GTGTGTGTGTGTGTGTGTGCAAACATGGAGCTCCAAACTGGACTCCGTGGCTCCACGACAGGTGTCAAAATCGCCGCTAGGACTGAACTCCAACTGTTGTGTGGCAAGTGGGCGGTAATTGCGATATTAATGCCCCAAATATAATGCAGAGCATTTCCAAGTCAAGCTGGAAATGATGGTAGCTAGAACCTTTAATTATCAGGTAAAACCACACCGGGTGCAACCATAACTTTTCTAATTCTGATCCGATTTGGGACTGGCATACCTCCTAAAGATTGCAGTTTAATTTCCTAATGAGCTGCATCATTAGTTAATTTTTACTTTTATAATTGAAATGTTATTTAGAAGTGGCCTTTCTTTATGTTTTTGTATTTTAATTCTTTTAGAAACTGCAACATTAGTTTATTGTATATTTTTGGCACCATTTATTACCAATTTATGATGTTTACACCAGAATATATTTTCTTATATGCCCAAAAAACGTGAAAAAAACACGTCACTTGGTGGTCACTAGATGAGCTATTAAGTGAGTCACTTTTGTGCAAAAAGAAGTGGTCCTAGTTCTCGATTCCTCGGCTTCTATAAGACACCCCGGTGTGTGTGCAGATGTGACAACATGGAATAGTTGTTCGCAGTTGATTGGGATAGTGCCTGCCCCCCGGGCCAGTTCGTGTTCTGGTGAATGTGTACGACAACCCATCATGTTTCCATGAAATGTAAATTAAAATGTCGAATTTATTGCCCAAGTAGTACTGAGGCCGTTTCTTGTTTTCGACCGACTGGCTGGCTGGCTGGCACTGGCACTCGCACTCCCGGGCAGCAAGAACTAACGAGATTCAATCAGTGGCCACTTAAGCAGCGGTTTCTTGTCATTAAAATTAAGTATATTCACTTACTCGGAATCAAAGTTACGGCTGCCTGCTGCCTGCTGCTGTCGTCTGCTGTTGATCGCGTGATTGTTGTTATTTCTGTCTCTGATATGTACAATTACCGAAATCGAAACAAATTTTATGGTTCTCCTAGGAGCAGTAATTCCCCAGCAAAACGATCTATTTACCGATTTCTGGCGCATCCAAATACCCAACAGAAGCGATTCAAAGTGAGCAAATGAATGAAGAGCCTCCAAATCGGGGTTACATCCAGGCCAAATATAAAATCAAATGACCTCTTTAATGGAACTCTGTGGGCTTTTTATCAGATCAGGTGCATTAAAATCGAGCGCCGCACAGAAGATCTTTTCAATGCAGAAGAGTTTAGGGTGACACTCTTTTCTCAATTACATTCTTAGAATTCCTAAGATTTAACGATTAGTTTCTTTTATTTTTAAGAAAAGCTTTGCATTTTGGCAAGCAACTTCTTCGGTTGGGTAATATTAAATAAAATTAAAAAGGTTGGATTGAAATGATGTCTTATAAGATAATCCAAAATACTTATAAGTGAATTGTTGCTATTATTTTGTAATTGTTGATTACAATTTTGTAGATCAATGAAAGGTTATTATTGCATGTAATAATGAAAGCTAATCAATGTGATTACCTGAATTTAAACCCAGTTTCACTCATCTTGAGGAACTGTCAAATCGTGAATTACAACCGCATTAGGGAGATACTTATGTTGCCAATCGGCTGACTTGCTCCCAAAGGGGTGGTGTACACCCCTTCCAAACCCCCTTTGTGTTCTCCTGTCGCTTGGGTGTCACTCGGATGTCATGGGGATCTGCCACACGTGACGAGCATGGGACAGTGCGATTTTGGACCACTTTGGATGTGGATGAATTCGTATCTGCGTCATTTTTCGGATTCGTGCTGCCATGCCAGTGTGGCCAACGTCGCTGTTGATCCTATTTCAAACGTCAAGTTACTCGGCTCGGGCTCGACTCCAACTACTTGACTGTCACATCTCACATCTCAATAACCCTCGAGTGGTTTTCAATTGTCTCCAGAAATAAACGCATTTGCATCCCCTGCTAAACTCACACGCGAGTCAATCGCAAACCCATTTTAAATGTTAATTTTTAACGCATTGTAAATTTTTCCAAATATTTCATAAAGCCAAAAGCCTAAGAAATGGCAATAGAAAATATGATATGCAGAACATAGCGAAAACGAAATGCTCTTTGCCGCTCAAAGTCATGAAAATAACAATTTACTTTTAGAAATGTTAGTGTTTTTAGTTTAGTATATATTAATCTTTCGAAAGGTTTTTGCTGGTAAATCATTAGTGAGACTGCTTATGCAAATTTTAATATTTATTTGTGAGTTACTTCTTCTATTCATTTTTAACCCTGCCTAAATACTGCGCTTATCCCGTGAATATTTGAAAGAGCATTGCCAAAGGTTGACAGGCATGAGCAAAACCTTTTCGCCGTTTCCGTTCTGCCTCTCGAAAACGCAAAAAAGTACTTGAAAAACGTTACACACCCCGGGACCATATCATACCATGCCTGCTGATATCTGCTCGGATGGCAGCCAGGAAGCCCCTGGTGAAACCCCAACTCCGATGGCTGCCTCGTGACATCATCCAATTCAAAAACTTAAAAGTAAATAGATCCCAAGAGATGCGAGTCCGTCGCACCATACAAATTGCCAGTGCGTTCCATTGTCTTTTGGCTGACTGTTCTGTTCTGTACTGTTCTGTTCTGTTTGTCTCAAGTGACATCGTTGCCAAGGATCATCTCATAATGTGGCAAGCGTTTAGTCCCCCTGTTTGCCCCACCGCCTCCTTTCCCCATTGAGAAACTCAAGGGGAGTGGGAATGGGTTTTGGATTCCGATTCGGATTGGGACTGCGTTTGGGATTGGGTTCGGGTTTGGGGGCTCTGACGGATTGGCTTAGCTGATGTTCTTTTTGTTTTCTTTATTTTTTTATTTTGGCTGAGGCATCCGAGTTCTCAGCTCTGAGCTGTGAGCTGTGAGTTCAGAACTCTAAGCACGGAACTCTCGACTCATATCCTTCGCTTCAAACCACTTGACATTTTCACAGTCTCGCATCCATGTCAATTTTGCGGTTTCGGTTTCATACATTCGTTTTTGGTGGGAGTGTGTGTGTGTATGTGTGTGTGTGTGTGCACAGCTCCATTCTCCACATAAATGTGGAATTTTCAGCTCGGATTTTGTGGGCACACGGCAAGAAATGATAGCTTAAAATTATGGAATCTGATAAAATATTAATAAAAATCCTAATGATATGCAGGAACTGGTTTAAAGAACAAAATCAGGAAACCAAATGTAAGTTCTATCGGGACATTACGATGGCTTAAAAATCATTTTTAATTCTTTTTGACAAATACTATAGTCGCTTAGGTTTTTATTAGTTCAAGTTTAACTATTCTTCACACATTTTTGTTGTTGTGTAGACATTTTACTGCAGGTCGAGTTGACAAAATGTAAGAAAATTGAATTATTTTGAATTTTTCTTGAGAAGGTAGCACAAAGTTTATTTGCAGCTAATTGCAAGAAAAAATAATGCGGTTATTTATGGCGTAAGAACTTATAAAAAATTAACCCTTTTGCAAAAAACTAATCTTGGCAAAAATCTTTCTCTTTCGATCATCAAAATGCTATAAAATAGAATGAGTAGGTTAAATTCAATATAGTTATATTTTTTATTCCCTAGTTGATGATGATAGAAGAATGTACTGAGGTACGAGTAACCATCTTTTGCGCAAGTATTATAGAATGTACCACTTCGCCGGGTATAATTAGTCTCTTTTAAGTTAGCCGAGTCCGCCGATGTGATTGAAAACGAGAAATAAGAAAAAAACAAAAAAAAAAGAGAAAAGAAAAGAGCGCGGTGTTAATATCGTTGCGTGTTTTATAGAATCGTAAATATGTGCGAGCGGCGAACGAGAATGCGAGGTTCGTACTCCCCGTCTACTTATAGGGTCTTTCTATTCGGCCACTTATACTATATACGTATATATATTTGCCGTTGTTTCTGTATGGGGGAACACTAACCGAGTGTGCGTATGCCCGAGTGTGTAATCCGTCCATAAGTGGCCTCAAATGCCTATCCATAATGATGATGATGATGTGGTTGCCGCTGCGACCAATAGTTGGTCATCATTCATCACGACGGTCGGGCTGGTGAGGCTGGGGATAGCAATGAGGGGGGCTGGGGTGTAGGGTATGTCTATAGGGAGGAGTATAGTGTGGTATGGAATAGTATAGTATAGTCGCGGAACCGAAAAACAATTTATGCCGCATGTCACGCCTTCTCGAAGAGTCGGTTTACCAATACCAATACCGAAACCAATACCAATACCCAAATGCGCAAGCGGGAGGGAGACACAATTTCGAGGGCGTTTCCCATTATAGATCTCATCAGACCAATATTATACACATTTGAATCTGGGTCCGTCGAGACAAGCAAATATCCATGTGCGATTCGTGTTGGGGAGAAAGGCTTGCGGGTTGCGACCCCCCAATAATAATACAATAATGGAGTTCGCACAGAAAGCACTGATTTTATAGCAAATCAGATCGGCGTTCAAAGGCCCTCAAATGCTCAATAAAAATCAGTTTGTTCCCCTAAACAAAATAGTTTTTAATATAAGAATTCTGATTTTTTTTCGTATGAAATTTTATATACATTATAAAACATTCGAAATTCTGTTTTAGAAAATGTTGCCTACCTGCAGGAGTAAAAATGTATTTTTAATATTCATTTTTTATACGTTTAGTATTTACGCTGTAGAAATAGTTTTAAACAAATTCCGAAGACCAGAAAAATGGATGCCAGCATCGATACAAAACAGAAAGAATGTTCAAATTTTAAGTGCTATTCAACAACAACCTTAACAAGGACACATTTTTAAAAATATTTGTATAATTTCTGATGGATAAACAAAACAAATAATGTAGCTATTCCAGGTAAATATTTACAAAGCCAATGACTCACATTATTTCCACATAAAGTACAATTTATTTCCTTTGCACTTATTGTACTGAAACATGAAAAGTACGTATCCGCCCGGAGCACCAATAAAAAACAAATCTTTGATTACATGTTTTCGTCAATTTTGCCGTTGTTTATTGTTAATAAAAACTTAAAATCTTGTTGTAATACAGTACACAATCGTCGGGAGGAATTTTCGTTTGTTTGTGAGAGCAATAACATTTTTCGTTCACCCAACGATGGATTTCTGTTTTTTTTTAGGGATGGGTTTTCTTTCTTTAACACACGGGATATGTTTTTCAATAGAATTAGCTTGCCGTTAGTACATTCAGTTATACAATACAATTATTTATTGGCTACGAAAAAAATTGTCTTAAAACTATTTAATATATGCATTCATAATATAGATTTCGTTTATAAATATCAATACTTCGTTGTACACCGATTTTTTGGGGGTGGGGCAGGGAAAAAAACTGAACCCGTTCCCCGATTCTGCACTGCCCAGCCCGCTCTTCAGATGACAGACTTTATTTTTTTTTTTTTGGATCCGCATTTCTGGATCCCATGCACACACACAAGCACACATCCTTTCATACACACACACTCGCACACTGAGGAACGGATTGAATACTATACAATTAGATGTCGCACTACGGTATACATTATACATTATTTTTTATATATATATATAGGTTTTCAAAAAAAAAATCCATATAACACACGTACGAGCAGAAAAAGCTTAGTTTTGGAGCAATTCCAGTTTACAGACTGGTAGGCGGGATTGGGGGCGTGGTGGGCGTGGCCGGGCGGGGTGCGCGCCTGAGGAGGAGTGCCAGCCATTTAATGGTCAAGCTTTTGGCACGACCCCACCGACAAAAAAAAGCTGAACAGCCAGCCAACCAGACGAACACCCCCGAACACCCAAAACGTATCCTTAAAATACGCACAAAAAAAAATATTTATAAACAAAAATTTGACTAAGGAAAACAGCTGGCAAACTGGCAATCTAGATATCTAGAATGTAGGATTTAAAAACCACTCAATCTATCTAGAGTTCAGAATCTAGAATCCAAAAATCAGTTTATCTAGAATCTAGAATCTAGAATCTAGAATCTAGAATCTAGAATCTAGAATCTAAAATCTAGTAACTAAAATCCATAAACTGAAGATCTAGCAATTTAGAATCTGTGATCTTAACTCTGGCAATCTAGAAATCTAGACAACTAGCATCCCGAATCTCGAATCTAGACCGAAATCGGTGCATTGGTGGCCGCCGGCGATTGTTGCTGCGGCTGCTGCTGGTGGTGCTGGTGTCCCAAATGGTGGTGATGGTTCAGGTGGTGCTGCTCCTGATGATGATGGTGGAGATGATGGAGGTTCAGGTGGTGGTTGAGGGGATGCGGCTCCTGGTGGTGCTGCTGCATCTGCAGGTGCTGCTGATGGTGCTGCGTTTTCAGCAGCATGGAGCGGTACATTTCGGAGAGGAGGCTCCACATCGGCGGCGAGTCCTTGGCCAGATCGACGGGCGAACCGGCGGGCAGGAAGGCGCCGCCGCTCGGCGGTGCCGCCGGTTGACTGGCAGCCGCAGCGGCGGCGGCGGCAAACATTTGGGTTTGCAGCAGGCGCAGATGATGCCGCTCCTCCAGATCCAGAACGGGCAGTGGCAGCATTTGCCGCCGGCTGGTCAAGAAGGAGGATGGGCTCTCGTTCTCCGGATCGAGTTCCATTTTGATGCTGGCAGGTGGCAGGATGGTCGGTGGCGAAGAAGAAGAAGAGGAGGTTGAGGAGGAGGAGGGGGCAACCATTGCCATTGTGGCATTGGAGCAGGCGGAACTGGAGGTGGTGGTGCTATCGTGTCGCCTCCTTTTGCCGAGCAACTGGTCCATGGAGAAGGCATCGCTGGGCGAGCGCTTTTCACGCTCCGTTTCCGGTTCGGGTTCCTTATCGGAATCGAGTTCCTGTTCGTGCTCCTGCCCCCTCAGGGAGTCGCGATCCAGATCCTCCTGCTGCTCCTCCTCCTGCCTTTCCTGCCTTTCCTGCTCCGACTTGCGTCGCTTGTGCAGGCTGAAGTCCAGCGGCTGATCCACGTTCCGCTCCTCATCCAGACTATTGCTGCTCGCCATGCTTAGACTGCAGTGCATCTCCTCGTCCCGCTCGGGGTCACGATCCTGTTCGTGCTCCTCCTGATCCTCATTGGAAGAAGCCGCCGGACTGGAGCTGTTGGCCTGCATGTCCACGTAGACGAAGTCCGCCTCGTCCTCGGGATCGGCGTCCTGTTCGTGATCCGCCTCGGCCTCGTTGTCCTGGCAGCCGGCGGAGAGCAGACCCAAACTGTGCAGACCCGCCTGTCCGCCGAACATCACGTACGGATGATGGCCGTGGTGCGGTGGCGGCGGCGGCAAGAGTCCGGGAAAGGCGACCGGAAGTCGGCCGGCGGCTGCGGCGGCAACGGCAGCGGTGCCGGGCGAGAAAACCGGAAACTGCTGCGCCGTCCGTCCGTCGTGCGGCGAAATCTTGCGGCGAATATGCGGCGAATGGAGCTTCGGATTCGGATTGGCGCTATGGCGATTCCTCGAGCGCCGCGAACTGAAGACCATGTTGCATCCCTCGACGGTGCACTTGTGCATCTCCCGCAAGTGGACGGCGGAGAAGTGGATCTTGAGGGCTCCCTTGTCGCAGAAGGTCTTGAAGCAGATGGAGCACTGGACGCGCTTCTTTCCCGTTGCCGGATTGATGAACTGGCCCGCCAGGTTGATGGGCGGCGAGCCCCAGCGGCGTTGCTTCAGCGAGGAGTTGGTAACCGAACCGGATCCTGAACCAGATCCGGAGCCGGAGCCGGAGCCGGAGCCACTGGATCCGCCGGGTGAGCTGGCCGGCGAGGCGGCGGTCTGTGGGTGGGAAGGTCCGTGGGACAAGTGCTGGTGCGAATGTGGGCCATGGCCCAGCAGATAAGCCGGTGACATGAACGGATTCATTATGTGCTCCATGGTGTGTGTGTGTGTGTGTGTTTCGGTGTGGGTTTTTCCTCCGTTCTCGGATTCTCGGATTCTCGGATTCCTTGGGTTCCTCTGATTTGATGCCTGCGGGGAAAGAAAGGCGAACGTATCGTTAGAAGTGTCAATCAGGGTGTGTCAATCAGGAAGTCATTGAATCGGTTGGCTCGGTCAGTCCTAATCGAAAAAAACTATTGCTATTGCTATTGCCATTGCTAAATGCCAGGGTGGCTGCACCGACTGGAGTGACTGGGAATGGGACTTAACTCAACGCAACGCAACGCAAGTCAAGTCAACTCAGTCGATTGTGCAACTATTTGGAATCAAAATCAACCTTATCGCCCGGAGTCAGCAGGGCAAACTTGACATGCCGCTGTGGACATTGACTTGGGGACTTTGGGACATTGGTCATCCCGCTTTCAATGCGCAATTAGAGTGGCAAAAAGTCGGGAGAAACGGTCGAATAGTTCAAGGGGACAAACTCCCCCCATACGGGGTGCTCAATTAATCAGGGGATTACAACAAAGATTACTTTGTCATTTATCTTGCGAAAAGCAAAAAAAATCTATATGTATTTTGAAATATTTATTGGGAAAATGTATGACACCACAGCCACGCCGAGAAACATTAATCTGTTTTATTGAAAAGCGCTCTAAAGCAAATATCTCAAGTGTATTGCCAAATTCCCAAGTGAAAGCTCCCAAGGAGCTTGGCCAACTTTGTGCAAATCCAGTCAGATTTATTGGTAAGACACACCTATACATGTGTGAAAAATACTCAAACATGTAGCGGTGACACTCGCGTCGGCAAATCTTTTATGTCAGCAAATAAAACAGTAGACTATCATTAAGATGCACTTACGCCTCACTCAAATAGCAAATTGTACATTTTAAGCTGAATTTATATGCACACATATATGGAAAAATATTATTAGATCATCGGCGTTTTTTGTTTTTGAATAACATCAAAAGGATATGCAAGTGAAACTTTTATTCCCTACTCGGGAAAACCCTGTTTAATTTCGATATGTTTTAAATTGCAGCTATATTTCTGTTTGCCTTACAGCATTACGACTTAGCCAAGCCGACCTGTACTCGTGTAAGTGCACATTGGCTCATTTACTTGAGCGAAATCTTTTACAGCTTTTTCGGTTCTTGTGGCCATTAAAATCGCCTCTGACAACGTCGACGGCGACGACAACATGCGGCGATCAGTGCCGGACTTCGACTTTGGATCCGATCAGTCGCTAAACTTAAAGCCAAACCAAAGAGCTAGCCTTTTCTCTGCTGCTTTGTCTCTTTTTTGTTTTATTTTTTGTAGTTTTTTTTATTATTATTGTGGGCTCCGTTCGCTACCGTAATTGTGAGCAGCAATCGACGTAGAAAAAGCGAAAAAAAACCAAACGAAAAAGACCGAACCCAGGGGCGTCACAAAACTGGGGACAATTGTTGGGGCTGCGGTGAGATGATGACGATCGTGTGTGCGATGTCGTGGCTGGCTATCTGGATTCGATCTCAAAAGTCGAACACACTCCCGACTTGCCCAATGCCAGCTAAAAAAAGAAGAAGCCAGGCCAAGAAACCAACACCAAAAGCCAAAACCACATACGACGACTATGGCTCACAGATACTCGGATACAAATGCAGAAAGCCAGGAGATGGTCGCTTTTTATGGGGCTCATTAGTAACGATGACAACAATAGCATTAAAATGAGTGTATGTACACTCAAAAAAACTCAAAAAAAACGCAAAAAAAACTCTAAACTCAATTGCCAAGTACTCGAAACGATCGGGTTCTGCCTGCCATAAAAAATGGGTTTGTATTCCAGCTTCTCTTCACTTTTTCTTTGCTGATGTCCAAATAATGAGTTCTGATACAACTAGAATTCTTGATAACTATCTATGATATATCTATGAATTTAATTTATAAAACTTGTAAATTCAACTTTAGGATTTCTTGATTGATGTAACAAACTCAACTAACTTCAAGTTTATTAAAAGTACCTTTTTCTATTTTTAATTTGCAGATTTGAACAACAAACAGCTTGGATTTCCTTGAAAACACGTGCACCACATTCCGCAGCATTCCAGCAGGATTACCTCGTTTTTCGCGCAGTGCACTCGCTGGACAGATCGAGGTGAGTATGCATGTACATGGGTAATTATTTTTGTCAAACACTTAAAATGTCTTAAGCCACCGAGGGTGCAGGGGGGAACGCGGGGCGGAAAACCAATCACAAGTTTTGATGGCTTGGACGAAACGTTTTTTTGATTATCGGCAGTGGCAGTGGTAGCAGCATCAACAGCAGCAGCAGCAGCAGCAGCAGCAAAATGTTGAAAGTCCCCAAGACAAGACAAGACCGAAGAATTCGGAGAGCTGGAAGCTGGCAGCCCGGTAGATGGGCGATGGGTGATGGGCGATGGGTGATGGTAAATGGAAGATGGAAGATGCCGAGATGTGAGCAATCCGGCGGCTATAATTGCTGTTGTAGTTGCTGTTAATAGTAGTACATTATAATAAGCAGTAGTTCGCAGGGGGGAAAGGGGGCCGTTAGGTGGACCGATGGTCCAAAGATGACAACCCCGATGGACGGACCTCGGCGACGAGAAACAGAGCTCGAAAGCCGCAGACAAAAATCTTAATTACAACTTTGACATTTGGCGTTTCTCCGAAGACCCGACATTTTTTCGTATAACGAAGAAAATAGAAAAAAGTTGATAGGAGTGCGAACATTGGATTGACAAGCCACCAGTTTGACATTTGTTCAATTTTTTGGCCAACACGAGTTGGGCGAAACATGTGTGGCCCTTGGAACTAATCAAAATTATTTTACAACTATGTTTTTGTGTGCTATAAAGCTAAATGAAATACGAAAATCAATGATTGCCCAACCGAATGTTAGGTGAATTTGTTTATAACACCAAAAGCAAACAAGCAGAATGCCAACATAAATCTAAATTTATTGAAAATAAGTCACTGTATTTTGAACATAATCGCATACAGATCTATGTTACATTTGTGCTATTACGTTCTCCAACTTCGAGAATAAACAATCACAATATTCTAAGGTTGATCTTACATATATAGATCAGCAGCAAACAACAAACTATTGATATTATTTCGATCCTTGCATCTATTTAAATAAGTATCGTTTTGCTTCTTTTTCTTTTTAAATAGAAATATCCAATTGATCTTATAATATTTTCATCTCTTTTCTGACCGCCACACTTAAATAAAAACTCAGTGTTTGCACTGCCGACGGCAAATCAATATTTTCAGCAACAATACATACCTTTTGCTAAATTAGCAGCAAGTTTCGGCTGTTGAGTTGTAATTTGGTTTCGTAGCTGGTGTTTGTTTTCGATAACTATTCACTTTGTCACAGGTTTTGCCATTCAAAAAAAGGTTTCTGCATTAAAGTTCTTAAATTCAGTTGCTGGAATTCACTGTCGTTGTTGAGTGGATTTTTGTTGTTTTCATGCTCGTGCACTTATTTTCGTTGCATTTTGCTCGAATATTAAAAAAGTTAGTCGTTTCACTTGGCGCGACGCACACGCACACACACATGCAAAGACATACGAGCGCGGCAGAGAGAAGTGGACGCGGATATGCGGATGCGAATATGCGAATGCGAATACGAAGATGCGGATGCGGAGAGCAGGGACAGCAGAGATCCACTTCTTCGAATGTCGTGGGTGACACTGATTGTCGATTTGTCGTTTCACCCGTCGTTTCACCCATGGTAGAATAAGTATGGAGTAGTGGTCTCGTCGGGTCCGTCAGTCCCTTAACAGCCACTGCAATGTGTGTGAGTGAAAAGGTGTTTTCCAATAAGTGCAAGAGAAACAGCAATAGAGTGTGTTGTCTAACCCTTGTGCGGTGAATGTGGCTTAAAATTACCTGTCATATGACAATAAGTGTTTAAGGACTGGACCTGAACCCAAACAATTTGACAGTATTTTTCGTCCGCTAAAGGAGCTTTCTTCAAGCTGGCTAACAGATACTTTACGTTGGACAACGTTTGCTCAAACGGTTATAACGATAATCCAAGAGAGCCGAGAGAACCACCCGAACGTTAAGGGACTAAACCCGAACGATAGCGACTGCGACGCCGGCTGCGACAGTGGCAGAGCAAGCGACAAATGCGGCGACACACGGACACGCACACCGACACACACACGCACGCGGGGTGGGTGACACTTACTCGCTCTCTCCCTCTCTCTCTCTCACTCTCTCTCTCTCTGGCACCTGGAAGAGTGTGAGAGAGCGCGCTATTGGAATTGGCCTTCGTCACATTGTCGTCGATGGGTCATTAGGCTCTCCACAAGTGCGAGTGAGAGGTCCGCCCGCACTACAGGCTATCTCGCTCGCACAGTCGGCAAAGCAGTCGTGGCCAAGAGTAGGCTACCGCTCTCTTACCTCGTCATCGCTCTCTCGGTCAAAAGAGAGAGGGGAACCCAAGCCATGCGAGCGAGCAGTGCCACCTCTGGCGCGGCTGTTGGTCTCTCAGTCGCACACTGTCGTCTGAGTGGACGAAACCGTTTCGTTGGGTTGACACATGCGACACGTGTAGTTGTGTGCCGCACTGACCACACACACACACTCTATCACGCACTGCCGCCAGCCAAAGAGAACGCAGCTCGGTCTCTCCTAGGTTTGTTGGTGTGAGTTTGGTCGGTCCGCAAGTGTGAGTGAGCTTTAAGTGCACTGGTGTGACAGAGAGAGAAACGAGTTCGGCGAGAGAGTGAAATGGCAATGGCCACACAGTAACGTATACGTAATTTGTCGCTGCTGCGACGTCACTTTTTGTCTTGGCTTTTCTCCGGGTTCTTTTAAATTTTTGTCATTTGATGTCTTGTCCACTGCTGTGTGCTCTGTGTCCGTCCTTGTCTCGCTCAAGCGAATGGCCGCTGCGAGCGGCTCTCTTTGTTTTGCGATTGCGCGCTGTCCGTGTGTCTGTGTGTTTGTGTGGGTGTCGTGTCGTGTCTCTGTGTGTGGGTGTGTATGGGTGACACTTTGGCAATGGGGGCGATTCGCTTCGATTTTTTTTCCCTGTCGCCACACAGCACCAATGGAATTCGAGCACTGGTGACAAAGAAGCGTCGCTGCTTCTTCCTCTTCAATCCCCCCGCGCTCTCTTTGCCGCCCCAACCCCACCTCCCCTTTCCCACCCAAAAAACACTTTGCTTATGTAAATCGTACACAGACACTGTTTGTGTGTCTTATGTGGCCTGTGTGCCTATGTACAGCTCCTTGTCGTTCCATTGTCCTTTTCATTGCCGAATTAAAATTATTCCCACCCACACTCAGACATTATATATTTGCCAGACGTTGGAATGTCCCACATAAAGATACACACACAGGGGAACATCAATTTATCCACACCCAACGGCGAAGGGAAGTCCTTAAAGCGAAACAAAAGCCTTGTACAATTTCTATTTGCATTAATTACAAAAATGTAATGTCCAGTTGCTCCACCGCAAGATAATGCCTAACAGACTCAGGCAAATTCCTTTAGAGTAGTCTGTACTGCACAATTTAGGGTTTGTTGCGACGTTCCTTAAGGAAATATATTCGAAATTTAAGATTCCAGAATTAAATATTTATTTTAAAATTTAAAAGCTTAAATAGTATTTGGAAACTGATACGGCTTAATGGATGTAAGCATTTACAATTGGAGCATCCTTGTTCGAGTTTACTTAAATACTCTTTAAGTTGTATGAAGTCCAGTAAGAAATTTTTAGGATATTCCTGACATTCGAAACAACGAACTGTTTTGAAAGATATTCTTAAATAAAATGAATCTTATTTTTTTTACTTTTAAAAGCGAAATTATAAAATCATGATTAAAATAACTTTTACATATCTGAAAACAAGCAGAAAAAAGCATAGAATTCCTGCAAGCACGGTCCAATAAATAAAATAACAGTTCTTTTCCAAAAACTGAACAAATTTCAGCTGTTCCTCAATCGAAGATTTTTCACAATAAATTGTTTGTGTGTTTAAATTCAGAATAGACCTGAACATCGGTACCAAAGAAGTACACCATAATCTTTCTGCTTGATACAAACTGAACAAATCCGCTAAAAATAGCTTTTGAGCCCTGAAAAAGCAAATAAAAATATAACACTTAATTATCACAGCCTTGTACGCCATCAAAATCCGTTGGGGGTATCGCAGTGCCATGGCCAAAGTTGCGTAATAGCCCCATTCTCTCCTTTAAAAAAGAGTTACGTTTTCGGTCAATCACTGTCACTGGCAATTACATTTTTATGTTCCTGGTTGTTTTGAATTTCATTTATGTGTACGTGTATTTTTTAAAAGACACAATTCATTGAAAAATTATTAAAAAATAATAATGCATAATATTTTTAAGGAATATAGAAATTTGTACCTTCATTTTTGTTTATTTTCTTATTTAAGTCCAGTAAAAACTACCCATTAATGTATTAAAGAAAGAAGTATTCCCAAATGCGGCATATAAATAATATTTTGTCACCTTCTTTTGTGTTAAATTGGACAAAAAGGTTTTAAAACTCAGAACCTTAGCTCGTTGATTCGAAAATCATATCTGATAATGTTAATGTGCCTTCATAATCCCCCAGTGCTGAGTGTCACTTTTCAATTCGGCGCCGCAAGTTGCCTTGCGTTATTGATTGATGGAGATTTTGGATTTGTGATTTGTGATTTGTGATTGTGATTTCTGATCTCAGGGTTCGGAGGTGAAAAGTCAATCGGTGTTTTTGGGACGAATGGAAGTGTCTCCCCTGCTGTCCTTCGATTGCTCTTTGGGGTCATCTCGATGTCGCCCCCTGTTGTTGGCCAGTGCCTAGTCAACACTTTCGCTTTCCTTTCTCTTCTATTGTGTAGCGAAATGCTTTCATTAATCAAAGAAACGCTCGTTTCTCTCGTTCCATTTGGCCTGGCCTGCCGGTCCGTCCGTCCAGATCTGATAAATAATTGCTATCTTATTATGTCGATTGTCGTTGCTGTCGCCGCCGCTCTGCTGGAATCAAATCGAAGTTTTCACAGAATCCGATCCAGAGACAGAGGAGCCTGCCTCTCTGTCACTCTCGGCGAAAGCAAAGTCCCATCCATAGTTTTCAGACACACAAAGTTCTTTATTAACACGGCACGGCATCGAACGGCATCGAACGACATCGAACGGCATCGAAAGGCATCGAACGGCACGGCACCCTTTGTGCACGAACCGAAATCGAAACGTAATCGAGGTCCGAGAGCCGAGACGAAATCGATCAATCATTTTTCACACTTTGTCGTCCAGGTTCTCTGATTCTCAGATTCTCATTCTCAGTTCTCAGCTCAGCAAAAGGCCAAAAGAACATCAAGTGGAGGCCCTGTGGATTACAAAGATCCAACGACTATATGCGAGAGAGATATATGGTATTCCTCATCTGGCTGTACTTGACTTCAGGTCAATAAATCGTTTCACATTTTGTTGTTTCGCTCGCGTCTCTCTCCACTGATTTCTTTAAATACGATTTACGCCGACACAAATGATATTAAAAATCCATTAATAATTTCCCGACCCTGCATCGATTTCGATTTCGATTTGGACTCCGAGCCCTGAGCACCGGACCACTATATATCTCAACTTAAATATCAACCTGAACCTGAATCCGAACGGTGAACCCCAACCTTAAGCCGGGAATGGCCAAAAGGCAAAGGCCATGGGAAGTTCTCGTCGGGTTTTCAGTGCACACAGTTCAGTCCTCTTCAGTTCAAACAAAGGCGTCACAACATCTCACATTTAATTACATTTCTTTCCAGATCAGTTTGGTCTTCCGATCTTCCCGCTCTTCCCGCACTCATCCACGCCCCCAAGCTCCTCCCAAAGAAGAAAAAAATAAAAAAACAAAAGCCAAAAGGACAGCTCATTAGTTTCACCCGATTTATCCGACAATACTCAAGCAACTGTTCATCAGTTACAGTAGGTTATAGTGAGTTATAGTGAGTTATAGTGCGTTACCGTAGGGAGCTGGGAATATGGGAATATACCTCGAAATGGGGTTTGGTCGAGTGAGGGATTCTCGAAACGAATCAACCTCACGCAGTTTAATATAATTATGCTTGGTTTTTTGGGAGAACCCTGGAGTAATATAGTGGCTTCATTTTTTATATCCATCGAGGATAATTAATGTTTGAAAATATTTGAAATTTTAAATGTGGAAACCATTTTAGTTGATGGAGTACTAACAATTGCGTATTTATATTTTTTAAATAATAGATAATGAAATCTATTTGAACAGTTCCAATTATTATTATAAATGTATGTTTTTTTTATTTTCAACCTGAATCTCCTTTGGAAAAGCTAATACGAATTAACACAATTTGCTGAATGTGTTTTGTACTTTTGTTTTTACGGAGGTCGTGTGCATTTTATGTCAATTCATTATGGACTCGTGGGTGACCGTTGCCGCATTTATTTATTTATTTGCGAGCTCGCTGCTAATCGACCTTCCCATCGCTGGCGGCACTGTCATTGAACCAAGTCCTTCCCGACTGTCCTGCATCCTGGCATACCTGAAAATACGCTATACGCTCTGCCAGGATTTTTATGATCGGCCATTATGAAATTTTGTGCGGACGCGGACATGTTGGAAGCGAGGCGAAACCCTTTTTAGCGAGCACAATTTTATCACCCGGTTAGCGGAGTTCTCATGAAGGCATTGTAACCCTTTCACTTAATTATTGG